TACATACACACATATATGTGTAAATACATATGTGTGTATGTATATACACACACACACACACACACAATTAAAAGAGATAATCGTGATAATCTTGTGTCAGGTTGAAGCCATCGGAGCTGCTGTTACTGAATAAGAAATGATATGCAAGAGGTGTTTGTGAATATTCATGATGAGTCTAATGGCTGTTTGCGCTGCAGCATTAATGAACTGCTCCAGGGGCCGCAGACCCAAACCAGGAGCTGCAGTGGTGTGCGCTGAAACAGGAACTCTTAACCTTCAAACTTTACCGCGTTTTAAGCAGCGCCGCAAACCGCCGCCTGAGGCCAACGCTTCCACTTCCTCTGAAAACAACTGGAACATGACATGTGCAGGAGATCCAGAGGGTGCTCCTCATTCCTGCGTCCGTGACGTGTGACGCAACACTGACATTTCCCCACTGTGGGGCAAGGATCTCTTTATCTAAGTCTTAATCTTCATCATACTCTTTGCATAAATATTGACATTTTTTAATCAGATACAATACTCTTTTGTATTTTGTAAAATTAGTGTTTTTCTATGACTTTTTTACTTCCTTTTTCCTCCACTTTTGTTACAATTTTCTCCCTTCATTTTCAAATTCATTTATATTTTTACATATATTTGGATTTTTTGACTTGTTTTAATGACAATCAATCTTTACAAAATCAAACGAAATAAGATACAATAAATGTAGCCCTGTTGCCACATTTATTGTATCTTATTTCACTGAACTGTATCTAGAAATTGTACTGTACTTTTAAGAAAGTAAGTATTATTTATTTATATAGCGCCTTTCACAGACCAGAGTCACAAAGCGCTTTACAATTGTAGTGGGCATTTTACATTGTGTTGTATTGTATTATCTTGTGTTGTATTGTTTGCATATTGAGATATATGTCACACAAGGCTCTGAAAGATACGCAGCCATAATATCAAACCTACACAGAGCTCAACACTGATCATTTTGCTCAAACACAAAACATCAAAATATTCAACCTATAGAATGTAAGAGCCGTGCGCCAGTCCCAGAAAGTAAGATCCAGAATAAGAATCAGAATACATTTTGTGCTATTGTAAGTAACGGGAAATAGCTTTGGCTCGAGGTGTAACGAGTTTTGTTGTAAGGTGTGGTGAAACGAAGGAGGACCCAAAATTCAGGATTGCAAAAAAAAAAGATTTCATGAGAATAAACTAAAGTCCAAACTGAACCAGACAAAGACAAGCAAAGACATTGATAATGGATCAGCAACAAGGGGAGAGGAGCACAGGTACATATAGGCACAGAGCGACACAGGTACACACATTAGGGCGGGGCATACAAACAGGAAGTAAAACTAAACTAAAACCACAGAGATATTGGCTCAACATAAAATAACAAAAAATCCACACAATGACACAAAGTTGTAAGAGTAAAAGCTAAGGGCATGCATTCAAAAAATCTTCATCAGCTTGTACCGTAGCCAAAATTAGGCCTGTACCGCACTATCATTGGCAAAGTATACATACGTGGACAACAACAACATTAAAAGCCCTTTAATGTAATATGCTTGTTTGAATATTCAGCGTGGCGATGGTTGAGGAGTCCCAGTCATCTCTGCTCGGCTAAAAGAAGGCCACAGAGAAGAGTTGCACTGCGAGAGGCATATTAGCATTCCTTTGAAACCAGAGACCTTGGATCCAAACAAGAGCTATCCATACTCACTTTGGAATGTGATTTATATGCACGAGCCGGGCTGTGGGGCCAGAGGATGTGGAGGGGCAGGTGGAGGCTTCAGCTCTCGTCCCTCGCTATCCGCCAGGATCCATGTCTCTGATCTGATCTGAAACTCCTTCGACGGCTTTTAGTGGTGAAAGCGTGACTACTTTTGCGTTTTCACATTTGTGGTCTTCATAACTTTGTGACTTTTTCTCTATCTCTATGCTACACTGGTGCTGGGTTTGATTCCACCACCAGGACCTTTCTGTTTGGAGTTTGCATGTTCTTCCCGTGTCTACTCCGGTTTTCCCCACCGATAAAATAACATGTACAATAGGTCTGGCATGTCTTACATCTCTGGGTGGAGTGACAAATGTCCACAGCGATTGTAAAGCGCTTTGTGGCTCTGGTTTGTGAAAGGTGCTATATAAATAAATATTACTTACTTACTTACTAACATGTAGCATATTTCTATGTCACATTTTTGTGAAATTATGTTTTACTTTTGAAATGTGTAGTTTCTCTGTGAGATTTCATAACACTTTGAAGCAACTTTTGTTAAAGTTAAACTCATCATTCTATCAATGTGCAGAAGCCAGTACTTTTCCCTTGTTTTGTCTATCTGAAGGCCAAGCTACATGGCACCGTGGCAGATGCTGATTGGAGGTCTCCATGCCTCCGCTCTGTATAATACACTTGCATTCTGTTGTATCTGTGATCGTGCTGTCTCTACCATCGACAATAAAACATGTCTTCTGTCTGAATAAAAGACACGATCCCAGACTATGTCATCTTCTTCATCTCCAGGTGAAAAGTCGGTTTGGTTTTGGTCCACCGAGAGAGTACTAGTTACCATAGAAACACACTTGCTAGCAGTTAGCATTTGCTCACTTTTCATCAAGCTGGTTTTTTTTTCTGTATTTCAGTTGTATTCACCAGTTTTTTTTACCAGTTTTTTTTTACACTTACAAAAAAGTTCACTAAACTACACTTTTTTGGGGTAATTTCTCAGAATTCTTTCGGTTCAAAATGACGCCTCTGAGAGTTCTAGAGTTAAGCCGAATAAGTTTCCTGTTCAGACGCTCAGAGCCATTTGATGACAAAACTTGAGCCAAAGTGTCTGCGCCGCCAGTGACCCATGCGCTCCTCTCTGAGTGTGTGCATACTGATAATCCCACCGTCCTCTGAATTGTAAATGGTCATAATTATACAGCCTATTGTCTATTCATAATTTCAGAGCGAATGGGAAATTATGTAAAAGTATCTCTAAAGAGGAAAGCAGCGTGTAATACGTCTTGCCATATTGTTCATGCAATTCAAATGCTTGCTTTTTCTAAGAGTTGGAAGTAATCAGATTGAAATGGAATCTGACTGGCATGTCAGGTGGGATTATGAGACGTTTGGTAGATAAGCCACGATAACGACGCACCATGAGGTGAGGGCGCTCAGGCAAAGAGTGTTTTCCAATTAACGTAAACCTCCCTCAAGGTTAAATATACAGACAACAACTATGAGAACGCAGGACTGAACTTGATCAAGCTGAGCCTCTGCCCACACGACCGCCAGTCTGCGGCCCACGACTGTATTTAAGAACAATAATAATACTTCATCATTTTTTCTGGGCGCTCAAAGTTGTGTCACATGTCATTATTTATTCACTATGGACTTGTGCTGGTAAACTACTGTATACTGTAGGCACAGATGCCCTGGGGCACACTAACAGGAGTGGCCCCCAGCTCCTACAACCACCACCAATCATTTACACACACCAGGATTATACGAGGCAATGTGGGTGAGCCACATGGGTGGACACAACACACAGTTTGGCCCTTTTGACACAGAGTGTCACCCGGTGTGTCACCCGGTCCCAGATGTCCCCATCAGAGTATTAACCAGGCCTTTCCCAGCTTAGCTTCTGAGATCTAACTGAATGAGGACTTAATTGATCTGCAATTGGACCACACATGTTGTTTATTGGTTGTTTTTATTAGAATAAAACTGCAGTTTTGTGAGTTTAGCATGTCGGAAAGAACACAACTGCTTCATAAATATTTATCTATATATGTCATAACATTACACGTTCTTTTGGAAAACATCAATAATTGAAGATCAAGAAAATATTCATTATACGCTTTGGAATCAAAATCGCAATTATTGTGGTGATTAGTAAATTGCAGTTCTTTGAGAAGAAAAAAATGGACAAAATACAATGGAATATGAGCTGATGTCTGTTTGAATCGTTCGTCTTGTTGTCGGGAAAAAATCTTATTTTCTCATTTAAAGTAACGTCTCATCTTTTCATGTCAGACTGTGTTGCACAGCTCAGGACTGAGGTCAGAATATTTCATGGGTAAAGAGAGATTCTACTTATTACAAGTGTTTGTTAATGTTTCACTTTATTCAGTGAATCTCTCAGTTAAAGACAATGGTTGTTCTATAGCAGTGTCTCCCAAAGTGGGGTCCGCGGCCCCCTGGTGGGCCGCGAGGGTACTGCAGGGGGGCCGCGGGAGGTCATAAAAAAAATAAAAAAATAATATAATTATTTAATGTTAAATTTATAATGTTTTGTTTGTAATATTCAAATATTTGTGTTCATTATTTGACTTGAATAATCCACTGTAATCATTTTTGTATTACAATGTTTGTAGCAGAGGCTATTTCCCCAAAATAAAATAACCAGAAGAGCCTATTCTTAATGTTGTCTTCTTGGTTATTATTTTGGGGGGCCACGCAGACCCGTCAGATTTTTAAGGGGGCCTCGGTGTTACTGAGTTTGGGAATGGCTGTTCTATAGGTTCAAACTTTATGAACATTTTTGTATGTATTAGGTACCGGTAATCGCTTTTTCGCTTCATATGTTCATATATTTTTCAAATGGAACTCTATGAAGTTGTTACTTTTAATATATATATATTAAATACTATAGTAGTAATCACCTCGTTGGTCATAAATATTGCAAGTAACTTCAAAATTGCACAGCCCTATTTGGGTAATTGAATAAAATGTGCAATAGTGTATAGTGTTTATATTTCCAAGCCATTCTCTGAGCGAGTGACCTGTCCACAGTCTTCCATCTGCTCTTCCTCCTCCTCATCCTCTCCTGGTCCTATCTCCTCATCCTCTATTCTCCTCACCTCCCCTCGCCTCCACTGCGCAGGTATTTGTTTAGGAATCTCTCAGTGGAAATTATGCCCCATCTCCGGCACTCCCTATCAACACACAATTATCATGGGCAATCATGCAGAACACCGCACAATTCTGCAGGGACCCCCCCACTCTGATGACATTACTGCTCAGCAAGGCCACACTGAGAGGGACGCTTCACACCTGCCTCCTCCTGCTCCTCCAGCTCCTCCTGCTCCTCCTGCTCCTCCAGCTCCCCCTGCTCTTCCTGCTCCTCCAGCTCCTCCAGCTCCTCCTGCTTCTCATGCTCCTCCTGCTCCTCCTGCTCCTCCAGCTCCTCCAGCTCCTCCTGCTTCTCATGCTCCTCCTGCTCCTCCTGCTCCTCCTGCTCCTCCTGCTCCTCCAGCTCCTCCTGCTCCTCCTGCTCCTCCAGCTCCTCCTGCTCCTCCAGCTCCTCCTGCTCCTCCAGCTCCTCCTGCTTCTCATGCTCCTCCAGCTCCTCCTGCTCCTCCAGCTCCTCCTGCTCCTCCAGCTCCTCCAGCTCCTCCTGCTTCTCATGCTCCTCCTGCTCCTCCTGCTCCTCCTGCTCCTCCTGCTCCTCCTGCTCCTCCAGCTCCTCCTGCTCCTCCAGCTCCTCCTGCTCCTCCTGCTCCTCCAGCTCCTCCTGCTTCTCATGCTCCCTCCTCATATGCTGGTCCGCCATATTACCCATGATCACACACCGCAAAAAACGGATTGATGAAATGCCAGCTCAATGAAACCCAATAGGGAAGTGCTCATTAAGTTTTTCTCCAACTCACTTTGGCTCCTATTGACTTTCAAGTAAACTCCTCTGTAGCTTTCTCTGTGACCCCGTTTTTTAATTTGGATATTGTCTTTGTAAATCCATGTATGAGCCATAAGGACTGACCAATCAGATGAGTCGGTTTGCGTCTCCACAGCCCTGGCTGGTACCTGGAGAAGGGCCTCTTTTTGTTTCCATGAAATGTTGCTCCTTGTGGATGTAGTCGTCTTCCAGTTTGGCATTAAAGCTGGGATACAGAACTTTTTTTTCATAAAGAATACATGTTTTTTTATCCAACAGAAAGAACCTTGAAGAAATCAGACTACAACTTACTGTCTTCCTCTTATTATTAAATCGTTTGCATTTTGGGCTGAGAGCTGATTGCCTGAGTAAGGACGCTCCTCCCTTTTTCACTTTTCCTTCTGAACAATCTGGTCTTCAGAAGTGGCCAAAAATGCATGCACGTGAACACTAGAGATAGAGCAAAACACTGCTGATCGTGTGGATTGAAATGTTGCAGGTGACTTCTTATTATGCACTGAGCCGCAGTCGGATATGTTAGGTTAGGTATGTGTCCAGTTTTCACACCAGAGTTATATGTAACATCCTCACTAGATATTTTGGCCTCTGTCACATCTTAAGATCAGCTTTCAGACAGGAAAGTCAAAAAGAGAAGACCATCCTCACTCAGCCAATCACAGGGCTCAGGGATGCAAATTTTCTAATACAATATAGACAGAAAAGTTGCGATCTGATTTGTTCATTGCATTTTGTATTATAAAAGAAGACAGTCCGAGTACATAAAAATATGAAATGTTTTGTTGATTAAGCTAGGTTAAATACTCTCTGTACTTTACCATTACAAGTTGCGCGCGCAGCTCCATACATTTAACACAAGTGAGAAACGTGGTGAGATTTGCCTTTTTGCCCAGCTTTGGATCGCGGCCTTTTAACGTGTGTTTTCCTACTTTTGTCCAATTCAGAGCAGATTTCAGCGCTGGGAAGCTTCATTATCCCTGTCTTACATTTTAAGGCAGACCAGATGCTTTTTTCTCGTTGTGATAAGCTTATAATAAAGGCTCGGCACGTGAGAATTATTACAGAAGTCCATTCACTTCCTGATCAAATGCTCCATTCATGAGTGAAATTACTATCAGTCCGTCAGCCAAGGTGTGAATTCTTTCATCCGCAGATATGACTACTACCTCAGGATTGTATGCATAGTGCCACATACTGCACCCAGAATAAAAATGAGTTTTCTACTATTTCATATCGTCTCATCTTAGCCACAGACTGTAATCTTAACGAAAGCGACTTTGTGATGCAGCACTGCCCTCTTCTGGGTGTCAGAGGGACAACCACAAACTAAAGGCTACGTTTCTGTTCTAGTTCCTCGTATCTTCAGGCTTAAAGTGTTATTCTCATGAGCCAGTGTAAATAAGCTCCAGTAAGTACTACGAGCTTATTTACACTCTTTATTATAAAAAAAACTATAAGCTTTAAACTAAAGGCTGTTTGGATTACTTACCTCCAAACTTTCTGAGATCAGAAACAGAACACATTACAACATGTATACACACATTTTATTTAAAAACATTGTTTGCTATTACAGTATTTTATACAAATGTATAGTACTATGTGCCTTAGGTCTAATTTGCAGGTGCTGTTAAGATATTTTGCTTGCAGAAGAAGCTACACGAGGCCATACGCAAGTAAATATAAAACACACCATGCAAATACAATATATTCAACTTTCCTATAAAGTGCTACACACTCACTCACACTCACACACACACACACATTTAATATAATTTCCCCTTAAACTGGAAAATAAACATATTCAGTGTATAAATACGTTCACACAACTTAAAGAGCACATATAGTGTCATAAAGCATTGGCAGTAGTTTCTTGACTGAAGACATTGTTTCATTATAAAGCATTGGTACCATGTGTACGGTGAATATTGCACTGTTTCTCAGTCTCTGTAATAAAACTGTATCAGTCCGCTTCAGTGGAAGTGAATCTGTATCGTCCGGCCGATCAGCAGGAAGAGCAGCCCCGACAGGAAGCAGAAGAAAACCCCGATGGGAGCAAACATGAAGGACAGGCCGTAGTCGATGGAGAGGGCGAAGCTGGGACACAGTGTGCTGCGCTGGAACTCCACGTAAACACTGACCACATCCAGGACCTCCAGCCACAGCACAAACATCACCACCACACACAGGAGGAAGAAGCCTGGGGACAGAGGAACTGTGTGTACTACAGGTACAATACAGGTGTATACTACAGGTACTACGTGTACTACAGGTACTGCATGTACTACAGGTACTGCATGTACTACAGGTACTGCATGTACTACAGGTACTGTGTGTACTAAAGGTACTGTGTGTACTACAGGTACTGTATGTACTACAGGTACTGTGTACTACAGGTACTACGTGTACTACAGGTACTACGTGTACTAAAGGTACTGCATGTACCTATGCATGCATGTGTTTGTGTGTGTCTGTGGCGGAGACAGAAGGGGCGGAGTTATATATTTGTGCAAGTTCCTGATATTAGCATGGATGGATCTAAAAAGTATTTTCTTTAATGAGGAACGATGTTGAATCATTGCTGTGTCCTTTGTTGACTATCTTGGTTGGATGGTGTTCTCTCACCTGCTATCAGAAGAAGACTGCCTCCTGTTTTATACAAACAGTGGCTGGCGAAGGGCGCAGCACAGATGATGATGAAGCCTCCAACTATCACTGCTGCTACTCCAACCAGCATGAACACACTCCAGAAGCCTCTGTAGACTGCACAACAGCTCAGTCAGACTGGAAATGTGACAAGAATGAGTTGGAATAAAGATAGTACTTAGACTTACTGATGGCAGAGTCATACTGCGTGGCATTGTGGCTTTGCTGAGACACAGGGAAGGGGAAGAGATAGGCGTGCGTACAAACTTTAGAGGACGGTTGATTGGCTGAAGAAAGACCATTTATAAGTCAGTGAAAATGACACAATATATAAATACAAACTGAAACCATTTTTGAAAACAAACCTGTTGTGTGATCATCAATAAGTTTGGGTTCACCTGCCTTTGCATAATGTGAATGTAACAATGTAAAATGTGTTTTTAGTTGTATGAAAAGAGACGGACATAGCAATTTAGCCTTGGCTATGAATGTTGTAGTGTTTCTTATGTTGATTGTGTACACTTTTCCTTTTCCTAGACCCATAAACATTGCAAAAAATATTTAATATGAGGTAATGCTTAAATCAAGTGTTTCTTATCATCATTTGCAAAGATTTGTCAATGGGATAAAGCCATTTAGTCTTAATTGTTGCTTTATTTTCTTATTTCAAGGGAGACATTTCTTGTATCTTTTTAGAACAAGATCATTTGGTTTGTCCCATTGGCAAATCTAGTTTAAAGGCAGTCAAAATTCAAACTAAAGATACATTTTGCAACATTTGTCTTTTACTTATTTCACATGACTTTATGCAGTGCAGCTACATCACACTCCTTCACTGTTGTGTGAGACTTTTCACAAATTGTCATAATGTACCTACGGCACACCAGGCTGACTTTGAAAGTAGTTCCCTGTTCATAAAGTTTCCCCGAGGACTTAGATGATGCAGAATCACCTGACCACAGCAGAATAACATCACATGCTGCTAAGTGCTCACATGAGAGGGACTTCTAACACTTTTGTTGATGATAGACATAAGCGAGCGTCTGCAGCTGCTGTGTGCTGTCTGCGTGCACATGCGTTCTCAATCGCCATGGATACGTACTGAACCAGAACCTCCAGATCAGATCGTTGTCCTCTGCGTTCGCTCCAAATGAACACCTCCAGAAAAAACCCTCGTGGTAAAGAGTCACATCACTTTGGTCCGTCGGTGTCACACCATCGCCTCGCTGGAAAAGAGAAAGAAAAGGTTTTGAATTTCTAACTGGTTTAAAGGAGACTCTAAATCAACTTATTCAAGCTTTTAGCCATATTTCAACATTGGGCCTCATTCACGAATAACTTCGTAAGAAACTACTCAACTTTCTTCTCAAGTTGTCCTTAAGTAGATTTCTAAGAAGTCCCCACGTGGGATTCATCAACGCACTCGTAAGCCGCTGAATTGTTCGCAGCTGTTCTCTCAGATTGATGAATCCCATTTCCTCGTAAGTAGAGCGCGCGTGCCAGGTGCTTCATTAGCATAGGTACTTAGCATAAGTAACCGCCCATTAATGCCCATATAAGGGACTGCAGGGCCGTGTGCAGACGGCTGAGGAAACAGCAACAGGCCTAAAGCAGAGTTACACGGAGCAAAATAGTCACCCTTTTTTCTTCCTTTACCAGACTGAGAATAAAGTTATAAAATGTTGACTTAAAAGGCGAAATATTATGATAATAAAGTCGAACTAGCAAAATTATGAGATTAATCTAAGAATATGATGAGATTAATCTCAAAATGTTATGAGCTTAATTTAAAAATATATTATGTATTATTTTAAAGATGAATCTCAAAATGTTTTGAGATTAATCTCAAAATATTTTGGACCTTGGGAGGAGATCCAGCGCGGACCAGCGCTGAGACCAATGCAGACCCGAGGAGAGACCGGAGTGACCAGCACACAGAAACCAGCGCGGACCTATGGAGAGACCGCATAGACTGGAGTGACCTGACTGGAGAGACCGGTGCGCAGAGACCAGCGCGGACCGAAGAGAGACCGCATAGACCAGACTTGAGAGACCAGCGCGGACCCGTATGGATCCAGGAGCATGCAGCACGGACCCGTATGGAGAGAGACCAGTGCAGACCCGTATATGGGAGTGACCAGTGCAGACCCGTCTAGATCCATGGGAGAGACCAGTGCAGACCAGTATAGATCCATAGGAGAGACCAGTGCAGACCCGTATAGATCCATGGGAGAGACCAGTGCAGACCCGTATCCATGGGAGAGACCAGCGCAGAGACTCAGCGCGGACCCAGTAACCTCCTGCAGCAGCAGTATATATGCCGTTGTTCTGTGGCCCGTGGATAAAGAAATGCCCCCTATAAATAGGAAGGGGTCACTAATACACGGCAAGATTTCCAATGTATTTGATAAAGCGTTGGCACATTTCATTTCAAAATGAATTAAAAAGTAGGCCAGATCTGCAGTGAAAAAGGCGGTATATAAATAAAGATTACTAATAAAGATTACTACAAATAAATAAATACATACATCGATATGACGGACATATCACTGGAATGTTGTATTTTTATTCAACTTCACCAAAGAGGACAACCCCGGCGTGTGAACATGTCGGCACTGAATGCGTACGAGTGCTCCTGAGGACTCGTAGGATTTGTACTTGCCCAACAGAAATTCTGGTTACGAGAAATATTCGTGAATGCCACTTTCTTCGTAAAAACCGCGTAAGTAGGATTTACGTACAAATCTGTTCCTAAGAACCGTTCGTGAATGAGGCCCATTGTTCCCCCGTCAAAAAATACCTTAAGTCAAAAAAGTATTTCACAGGCCCTGAAGAAGGCCCTATGTGGCGTCACTGTGTCCCTGTTCATTAAATGATTTTCATTTGTCAAGAGTGCACTGCAAAAATATCAAATATGAGGTCATAATTGCTTCGAGGGGTTTTTTATCCTAATCTGAGCACATTCTGACTGTTTTAAAACAAGATTTGTCATTTTAGGGAGACATTTCTTTAATCGTTTTAAAACAATTTCCTTTTGCTTGTCCCATTGGCAAATCTTGTTTCAAGGCAGTCCGAATGTGTTCAAATGAATATACATTTTTGAAAATTTGAGGAATTTTTTACTCATTTTTCATCACTGTTTATAGATCAATCCTTGCTAAGATCACAAACGTTCGGAATACACATGTAACTCCGCCCCTTCTGTCTAAAACCTCTGAGCTGTCATTGTAGCACTATGACATCACACTCAAAGCAGTTTGCCCATTACATTAGTTCTGCCAATTTGTCAAGTAAAATTGCAATCTTAAGAAGCCCATAATTTTTTCATTTTGAAAATATAAATAAATTCTATCCCTCTCTCTGGTGGCATAGGGCATTGCAGATCAAAATAAAATAATATTTCACCCTTGATACTGGTTTCACAATATGATTTCCACATATATCATTCCATATTCTGAAACATGAAAAGACAAAAAGTCATTATCATTTGTAATGGACCAAAATAATGCATAATATTTCTTCTAGTGTTTGGGTTTTCCCTCCTCTATCATCACTGGATTTGCTGCCAACCTTGCAAATACCTTAGTTAGGCTGAGCTGAGCCTGGAAGGTTGGTCTGTCAGTCACTTACAGGCCATAACACCAGTCAAGTTACTATTGTACAAGAACAATCATCTACGACACAATCCAACTCCTATTTCACAGATAGAAAGAGCACCACAGCATCCACATATCAAGACTTTCAACTCTAGCAATACAGAAAAACAAATCAAACCTGCCAAAATGTCGGTTATATGTATCAATATCAATATAAATCTCAATGACACCGTGCAAAGCTTTATTATTCAATGATCTGCTCCCAATGAGGTATGTTCCACTCGGTGATATTTAATACAGCGCTATGCCACAGAGACTACTGGTATTCATATTGGGATTTCAGTAGAGCATGGGGCAGGCGCCTAAGCCATGTCCCCAGTGTAATGATAGTCATGCCACAGGGTGAAAAGAGGATTCAGGAACATTCTTATTCTGAAAGTCAAGCGTCAATAGATGTCAAGCATTTCTTACTTTTAATACACAAACAAATGCCACAATTTAAAATCAACTTTTCATTTTATTCGCCATTTGCAGTTAAACCACATTGGAATACGATTGCAAAAGTTCCCAGTGTGCACCAGACTTAAGTTCTGTCCGGCACTCACCTCAACAGCGACACCGCCTGATGTGCTTGCCGATCCGTCAGGTTTGCAGCTCTCGGACGCCATGAGCCAATAGTCCGTCCCGAAAGAGAGTAAGATAAAGACCGCAGCCAAGGCGCCAAAAAGGCCTGCGAAAAACAAGGCCACGTTGAGCTTCATGCTTCGTCCTGTGTCTTCTGACTTGCAGCTACAATCTGGACATGTGACGAGAGCCCAGCAGAATACTCCTCTATTGAAATAACCGCTTTAAGGCAATATTTTTTTTACTTTTTGTTAAATAGATCTAGGCGGCTGTCCCCCTTTGCTGTGTGTGTTATGGCAGGATAAGCTGATGCACATGATTCACCCACACCCTACTGGGGTCTTTCTCACCCACACGCCACCCCCCAGTGCTATTTTTGGGCTGTGACTGACTGCTTCTGTCGTCTGCTCCCTCTCCCCTGGTTCACTACATGGGGTGTGTGAAAGGGGAGGGCAGGGGGGAGGCAAGGGGGGTATCAATGCAGAAATAACTGAAGGCAACTGGACACTGGTCTGTATGGGAATGCAAGGTTGGGGGGGAAAGGGGGAGTCTTCTTGGGCCACTACCACGACATGCAAATTAGTACATGCTGTTTCCTGTAAATGTCGTATGAAAAAGAATCTGCCTGTCCTATGCTCAACGTATTAAAGCTGGGGGATCTAACTTTCAAACTTATAAGCTCCATCAAACTCTATCTAGAGGCTGGAGGGTCTAAGGACATTTATGGACATTTATGGTTTCCTGCTCCCTATGGACCAATGGTTCCTGTGTGTTTGTTTGTATTTGAATTCCCTGTGTTCCAACTGTTTGATTCTCTGATCTGTTGTTGGTGAATCGATAACTTTGAAATAGATATAGATAACTATGTGAGTCAAATAGAGACTCACAGGGCCCTATATTACAGCTATGCAAAATATAGAAGTGGAAGACAGCAGGTTGTGGTCGGATTTCTTGGCAACATTTTACTTTCACCAGACTTTGTGTTGGAACAAACAATATGTATTATGTATGTGTGATTGATTGATTGTGTGTGTGGGGTCATGTGTTTGCGCCCCGCCCGCCCAATTAGTTTAACCATGCCCACTACTCATTATCCACATATTTCCTCTTTTAGTCCTGAAACGTCTGATTTCCTTTTGGGATAATCCTAATTGTTCACCAGTTACATGCTTTCAGTCTCGGAAAGATGTGAATTACATTTGGTTGGTGTTACTCCTTATTGACGTTGGTCCAGTGGTTTTGACTGTGATGTGAATAAAAGCTCTCTTGTATTTTCTTCACAAAATATGTATTTATTGTGTAGTTGGTTGTGACAGTGTTTTTTTAACAAACACACTTATCTTTATTGTCGCCTTGGGCTGATTTACATCTGTTGTTCCTCAGTCACACTCACAAACACACACTCACTCCGTCATGTAACAGATAGTAAAATAATGAATGATCTTGTGTGTGGGGTTTTCTGTGACACCAAAATAGGCCCTCTGAAAAATAATATCTGCATACATGGTGTTATTTAACTTAATATTGAGAACCAAAAAGACTTATGAACTAGTGGATTAAGTACAAAGAGCTTGAGGCACCTGAGTTGAGGGAAATATAGGGCCTCACATTCTTGATTAGCATGTACAAGGAATATGTAGCAGTGAAGTATCATATCTGCAGGCTCATTTACACCAAGATGTGACCGACGAAGGTCCAAGGCTCCGGGTGGTTACGGGTCTTAGCATGGAGACAACACGGTTCAATGTTCCGATGTGAGCAAATAATGACCAGGCCCCACTGTGGCACCTGGTGTTCCCAGAGGTCTCCCATCACAGTACTAACCAGGCCCGGTCCTGCTTAGCCTCAGGGGTCTGACCGGAAAATCAAACAACAATAACGCATCATAGACTACTTATATCATGGTTTTTGGACACGGAAAGACATTGTTCATTCACTCCATATGTTAGTGGTAAACTGATGGAAAGTCCTGGGGCAGACTGACTGAAGAAAGGCAACCAGTCTGTGCCATCGGCCCCTCTGACCAGTCATTCACGCACACACCAGACTCATACTCGCCAGTGTGGGAGAAGTGCCTTGACCGAAGACACAACAAAAGTGAATCATGGCACCCAGAGGTCTCCCATCACAGTACTAACCGGTACCCGCCCTGCTTCCGAGATCTGAGAGGATCAGACTTTCACATGCAGGTGAGGCCATGTTGGTGATAAATACTGCAGATAAACAATTACTATTTCATAAAGTTATGTAGTTGTCTTGCTCCGTGACTCACTAAAACACACATTAGTTTTTAGCTGAGATATAAAATAATGATGTAGTACTTACTTTTGTCCACTGAGATGCGTAGAAGAACATTTTGACCCTAAATGATTCACATCTCACTGCAGTAATGTGCGCCTTGTAGCTTTTAAAACTCGGATATTGAAGTTCAATTTAGTTTACCACTATGCCTCTTGTCCATGTTATGTAAGTTAACAACTATTGTAAGCCGACATAACACAAGTCTTGTAAAGTTTTTTGTTGTTGTATTTTTTTTAACATAATACATGCTCAAAACATAGTTAATTTCTGTCCACATAACCCTTGACATGAATCAATTGTAGATAAACCATAACTTCACCCAAAAAAAACCCACATAAACAGCGCAATCTGCACTCTTGTGACGTAAGCAGTGGACCATACCATTCGCGCAGCGTAGGGGAGAACATTTTAAGAGGGAGGGTTGTCTGTGTCTCTCTGCAGACAATAAAAATACAATAATTCTGCGTTCTTTTGCCAAAATTCAACACAGACTCATAATTGTTCTGTGATTAAAGCCGTGTGTGCGCGGGTGCGTCCCTCTACAGACGGGCGCATGCGCATAGAGAACCTGCGCTCTGAACCCAGGCTCCAAAGTGCGCTTCCGCAGTGACTCGAGCCGGTGGTGTCTGCGGGAGGATGAACAAGAAGAAATGTAGCTCTTTATTTCTCAAACCCGGGGGTCGCACGAGGATCATACAATGCATCTATGTGGTGGGCTTCATGGTGAGTGCCTTACAAATCTGGGTAAATGCATATTTGGCAACTTGACTAAACCTGTCTTTCATATGCAGGTGTTTCTGCTGCAGTTTGTATATATTGGTGGAATTAGCTTTATAACTTTTGACTTGTCTCATGTTCCCACTCCCAGGAGCGTTTGTGTCAACCCATTCCATTATCATATTGGTCAAATGGGATTTAATTTAAACTTTCTAAAACCAAAACAACAGACTAATCACCTTTCCTCACTCTGTCAATTACAACCTCGTGTGCAAAGAAATGCTGCAATACAGGCGCGTTCTGATCAGGTCCAAGAATAGGTGTTGTGGGAGTGGAGCAGCTTGCCTTGACAGTTGTTTGGTGAAGACGTAACAATGCTGTCAGAAAAATATGGACTAGATAGAAGGTTACGATTTCCAGATCCCACTAACATCCCAAGTGATCCTAAAATAAAGAATAGATTGTAAAATGGTCGTTGTTTATTGAACAATATTGAAACATACATACACTAACACAAGGGTTAAGGCTCTGTTTGCCCTAAAGCTCCACCCAAAAAGTTATACAATGTTTGTGTAGCAGTAATGAAGTCTCTCACATGATTTGCTGTATTTTTTGTGGTTTACACATCTGTCCAGACCTGTCTCAAAAGTTACTATAGACTTATTGTTCAAAAAACGATGGATAAAACGATATCATTTTGTCCATGTTTTCCATCTGTTTGTTTTCTCTGCTGAAGTGGAGAGATTTTTTCTATTCTCTCTGTGAACGAATTATGTTTTAGATATAGAAGTTTTAATAGGTTCCCTTATTGTGTGCCTTCTAATGAAATGGACCAATCAAAAAGTTGCTTACTGGGATTTTATTAAATTAATATATCCTTTATTCTAAGTTTTACACTGTATATTGTACTTGCATTAGTGGCTTGAAGTAGTTCATATTATCATTCATCGCATCATTTTCTACCGCAAAATACTGTATCGTCCTCAACATTGGTTATCGTGACAGGCCAAGTTCTGTCTAAAACTAACAGCTTTTTTTAACATTACATTTATCCATTCGCAGGATCTGTTTGGAGTGAGCATGATCATCCCTCTGCTCAGTCACCATGTGAAGTCTCTGGGAGCCGGCCCCACTGTGGCGGGCATTCTGGGTAAGTTGCACTTTATTGTGGTAAAATTGTCCTCTGCATTGGACCCATCTTGTAATACCAGTAGGGCCTCTAAGACGGTAAGAAGGTCCATAGCTTTCAGAACGGTACGATACAAAAGTAATGAGTTATAACATTGCTCTGACCTCACACAGAATTATTTTTATTCTGAGACATTATTTAATGGGTGTAATGTCGTTATTTTATACAGACTTCTGAATATGTTTCTGTCCTATTTCTCAGGATCTACTTATGGCATTCTGCAGCTGTTCTCAAGCACGATAGTTGTGAGTATCGGCTTTTTTCTGTGCATTTTCTTTGGCTCGACAAAGAGGTGGCCATTGTAGATAAATTGCAGTTGAATTGCTTGTAATTCTTGGTATTTGACTGAAACAATACACGCTTATCCCCACGGCTGAAAAGGGTGTTCATGTGTCAAAGATTACTATTACTACTACTACTACAATATATTTTGGAATTGTAAAAACTGCTTTTAAACAAAACCAAAGGGGTTTTTGTGGAACAAGAGGAATTGCGTCTGGTGGTGTGGTTTTCAGTTTTCCACATGAATAAAATTGGTTTAATCTCTGGGCTCATGTGGCAAATTAAACGCATAAGGAGCGACCTGTCCGAATCTCGTGTGGGGACGAGCTGCGTCCAAGCTCCGGATTTGTGAACAGCCTCGTCTTTATGATCATCGTAGGCCGTGTCCAGAATATAGAAAACTCAATTGCTCCACAATCGAGTTAAGTCTTGTGTAACACACTAGCCCACTGTAATTACAGATTTCACTTTTGTCTCATTGTGGGGAGACTGTTTTTTTTCATTTTGGGTTTTAGCGATATGGCATGTTTCATCCATATCTGCAATGATTAGATTATGCATCTTTGGCACAACAAAAGAGGAAGGAATGAAAGGAATTTTAATAAAAGTTAATGGGGCCATGTTCTAGAATATCTGTTGGAGGGCAGGTGCTAATACATCTCTATGGGAAATGCTGAAACCAAAAATGCCATATTATTGCGTCCTTTCTACTGGCCAACATGTTGTTTAATATTGTCACCGCTGTGTATATGAATAATAATGCATTGGTTTTACATAGCGCTTTTTTGATACACAAGGACATTTCACATGGCATTATATTTTCACTCCGTATTGCTAGTAAACTACTAATGTAGACACAGTTGCTCTGGGGCAGACTAACAGAAGGCAAGCAACGAAAACGTATAATCAGCCAAACATTCCCGCACACATCGAACTACTCGGCAAAGTGGGTGAAGTTTCTTGCACAAGGACTCAACAGTTTGGCACTTTATTGCTGCCTCACTGTTGCACCTGATGTTCACCAGAGGTCTCCCATCACAGTACTAACCAGGCCCTGCTGATGGTGCCGTTAGTTGAAAGGACTTTTAGACATTTATATACACACACATTGTATTGTATTGCATCTCCGGCTGAAATACAAGTCTACACCTATAGACAGAGATATAGACAAACAGATGAAACCCCAAATAGATCTAAAGAGGTCCTAATGCTGTACGTGTTTCTAGGGCAGCTGGAGTGACGTGGTCGGCCGCAGGTACTCCCTTCTGACCTGTTTGCTGATCAGTGCTCTCGGCTACACTCTGCTCGGCCTCTCCTCCAGCATCGGCCTGTTCGTCCTCGCCAGGATCCCTGTGGGTAAGACCTCAAACCACACTAATCAGGAGTTCACCTTAACATAGTTTACTCTTGTTTTCTCTCTGTGCTCCAGGAATGTTCAAACACTCGCTGTCCATCTGCAGAGCGCTGTTGTCTGATCTGGTGTCTGAGTCGGAGCGCCCTCTGGTGATGGGACACTTTAACGCAGCCTCCAGTGTGGGCTTCATCCTGGGCCCTGTGGTTGGTGGGTACCTCACAGAACACGACGGGGGCTTCTACACCTCTGCCTTCACCTGTGCAGCCATTTTTGTGCTCAATGCTGGTGGGTTGAATAAATAGCTCCACATCTCCTAAATAAAAAAACATCTCAACTCAATAATTTCTTTTCAGGACTTGTCTGGATGTTGCCTTGGAGTGATACAATATTTAACTGTAACGGCACAAGCCATAACAGTAAAGCTTGTCTGGACTGTAACGGTCATGCGAGCAGCCTACACCCGAAGCCTGCCGCAGTACCAGGAGAGGGCAACAGACGCCTGCTGCAGCCTGCATGGAGGCAGCTGTCCTCCGTAGGATCCAGGATTCACACGGTGGCCTCCTCTGACATGTGGGACCTGTTTCTTGTGCGTCTCCTCATGGCCATAGCGATCATGTTGTACTACAGTAACTTCTCCCTGGCCATGGAGGAGCGCTTCTCCCTCACACCAAAGATGACTGGATACCTTATCAGCTACAGCAGCCTGTTGGGGGCGTTGTCTGGGTTTTTAGTGGGGCCTGTCACCAAACTGTACGGGAAGAACATGCATGCGCTGCTGTTTCACTCCACGGTGCTCACTTCCACACTAATTTTCCTCTACGCTACTGCCCCCAGTGTGTGGCAGGTGCTCCTCACCTCCACCTTCTTTGCAATCTCCACCTCCATCGGTCGGACTTGTGTCACAGACCTGGAGCTGCAGCGGGGGGGCGTGCAGTCTAGTGGGACCCTGATCGGAGCAGGACAGTCAGTCACTGCTGTGGGGAGGGTCCTGGCCCCTCTCCTGTCCGGACTCACCCAGGAGGTCAGCCCCTGTGGACCCCCCAGTCTGGGAGTGCTCCTAGCGCTGGCTGCTGTTGGGTTACTGCTGATCCGAATCCCCGCATGGGAAGGGAGAAGGACAAAACAGGAATGAAAGTCGAGGACTAATTGACTTTCAATACTCCACGGTGAGGAGATGGAACATATCTATTGACCAGGACAAGAATTAAACTTTCACCGCGCATCATTTAAAGGAAAAACCACTTATTTGCAGTTGGTCAGATGTTAACGTGGTCAGTAGTGAACAGTACTTCAGGATGTACTTGCCTTTTGGATCAGCTCCCAACTGGATGAAAGTTACTGAGTTTTTACCTCAACACTTGAAAACACTGGATAAAACTCAAATCTTCAACTGAACTTCTATTAGATCAATATTTATAGTTGAGGTTTTATTTTAATTCTGTAAATACACTTAATTTGTAAAAATGTTTTTTTTTAAATAAACTATTACTTTATTCATTATTAACTGAAGCAACTCTATCCTGAGCATCTGTTACCTGCAGCAGATCCATCATTGTACACGTGTGAAACACTAGAACATTTACAGTATTATACTTAAAAAGAAATTTCTGCCAGTATTTACACATTTAAAGTTCATGTTAAAAAAGGCATACAGCCACAATCGATGAGGACATAAATATAAAAAAGGTACACACTACATTCCATACAGTCACATGATACAAAATATTTACAAAAAGCACAAAATGTTCATTGATTTAAAGTTTTTAAAGCCCAAATCCTCAGGTCTTGGGGTTCCACTGCGGCCGTCTCAGGAGGGGGTTTCTAGTCACATTGGGCCTGGGTTCAGGGGCCCACAGAGGGGGAGGAGAGGGCGCCGGCTCCTCCTCCGCCTCCTGATGCACGTTCCTGAGGTTGTCCGACAGACCGTTATCGTCTGAAGGGCGGCGAGCGGCTGCAGAGGACGGGTTTTCACTGATCTCATTCAGCACGTCCACGGACGCGGCCTCGGTCAGAGTGTGCAGCCTCCGCAGCGGCATCATGGCTCTGGAGGAGGAGCGAGCAGGAGGTCTGGAGCGGGGAGGACGAGTCGCCGCCGGATACCCAACCTCTGACATGGTTTCCTCGTCGCCTGGATGTGGACGACAAGGAAGTCGATTATGATACGACCTCATCACTCACTATCGATGATTAAACATGTGACTATAATGATCATAAACAGACTGTTACAGGCTAAACACAGGTTCATGGACTTTAACATTTACAAAACCTGCAAATTCAGTGAATCATGTCAGTGTAACATTCCATTGGACATTTTCAACTTTAAAATAATTTGAAATAGACTGGGCGACTACTGAAATTGACAGCACTTGACCAACTATTTAATTATAAAGACAAAGATAGAGATAAAGTATCAATGAAAAATAATTGAAAATCTTAGGATTTACTCTTTACCAAGTAGATTTTTGAAAAGCCAGATCTAATTTAGTGCCAAACAAATAAGGTTTCACTCTGCAAATAACAGAACATGTTGAAGATTGTATCCATAGGATTATAACTTTGACAAATGTTATACATATTTAAAGAGAACAAAAAAAATGTGAAAAAGTATTTCACAATATGAAGGGAAAAGAATACACTCATCTTCACAAGGAATTGTTCAGTAAATTCAAAGTATTCCAATAATTTCAAATAACTAAAAACCTACAGGTGGAATGCAACAAAAGATTCTTAAAAAGAACCATAACTACAATACTGTCGAATGAATCTGCAGAGCTTTTGTACCTGTCTGGTTCAGGCGGCGAGGAGGGAATCTGGAGTCCAAGTTCTGTCCCGCAGGAAGAGAGAAGTACTTTTGGGACTTGGACACAGTCTATAACAAACACAAACACATTTTGGATTATTTAGTGAGAGTAGAGTGATTTATAGAAGTGAATGTAAATGTGTCTTACAGAGTTCTGGAAGCTTCCGGGCCTGAGGCTGCGGCGGATACTGGCATGTCGCCGGATCAGGATTTCCTTGCTGTGCTGTTCGTTGGGAAGAGCGTGCTTACTTGTGAACGCTGCAGTCTGAAAAACACAAACAAAACTATTACAATGTGCATTTTGTGTGTGTGGTTTTTTTTTTTTTCTTATGTTCAAACAAAAAAGTGGCATCAAAATGTAAAGACTATATAATGTTATTTGTAAGTACTTGGTACATTTTACAGACCCAGGTCACCCAAAGTGCTTTACAAATGTTCAGAGTTCAAATATTTTTCCATTCTCTCCACATGATGATGACAGAAAGGATGGGGGCCCCCAATCAACACCATTCATTCACTCACTTATAACATTCATACCTATTGTACATGGTACATATGTGGTATGGAAACCAGAGCACCCAGAGGAAACCTATGCAGACATGGGGAGAACATGCAAACTCCACACAGAAAGGTGGAATTGAACCCAGGACCTTCTTGATGTGAAACCAGTGGGTCCTGGCTCAAAAATGTCCTCGAGCATGTGCGCTGACATACTTGCAATACCACCCCGAGCCGGTGGGGGTGTACCCGGAAAGAGAATTATCCAATGTTTTTGAATGCCGTCTTCTTTCCTCTCAAAAACGGCTTTACAGATTGGTCCAAAAGTCGCTCTTGGCCCAAAGCTCCATTCCTGATGTGTCAATGTTGAGGAGAGTATATTTATTGGACCACTCTAGCCATGGACTTCCGAAGGCACTCGTTATATGAATTAGTTTTTTCACATTTTCCTGTGGGAGGGGCTGCCTGGGGCCATTTTGAAGAAGCCCCATAGAAGCCAAAAGTGGTGGCACATTAGTTTCAACGGTGGAGATAGGCGTGACTACGTCCATTAATATTTACAGTCTGTGTGGGAAACACCTGCTCAAACCGCTGTGTATATGTAGAAATGTCATAGTGGGAATCATTTACATCCACTTTATGAACCAGACCAACGAGATCGCTGCTTATCTGTTATGTTTGCTGAAAGTACAGTTCACAGGAGCAGGGTGGCAAGTTGGGCAATAGCTTTTAACATAGTTAGAGCATTAGGCCGCACCAGAACAGAAGCACATGCTCTCCATTTGTCTGAAAAACATCAAAGCAAACTGAAGTGGAAAAGTACCGATGGCCTCATATGCAAAGCTGGGAGTTTCAGGGCTGGGACCATGTTTCACCAACACGTATGCAAAGTTATACTGGGGTAAAGTGCAGTAATAGGGAAGACATGCAGTTATTCTGTTATATGCACTAGTGTTTAATAATGATGAGGCAAAAACAGACTGAGAATAAAAAGTGTTGTGAATATGAATGATAACGATTCACAGGTGAATCTCGAATTTCCGTAATTAAACTTACTGTAAAATGTGAAACCCATATATGATGGAGATGATGCAAAAGTGACATAAGCTAAGCCTATGAACAAATTTCATAACTGTATATTAATATTCTACATTTTCTGATTTTATTTGAGGTTTTAAAAGCTGAGTCACAACAGATAAAGGCTCGATACATCTCACTTTACGTGTGTTCAGTGTGAAATACAGAAGTCAATGCACTGTTGAACAATTATCTAAGTTTCTGTAGATTTCCCAAATGTTTCCCAAGTTTGAACAAAAGAGATATGCACCACTATATCTGTCCGCCGACATTAAGCATCAAAATCAGGGGCCAATATGTCGCCGTAGCAATATGCCTTGTTTTAGGGGAAAACAACCACATCATTTATTTTCCTCAAAACGATGAACAGAATTAATTAATCAAATGAACGTCAATTCAAAATAAAAACCTGTGAAAGTCTCAGTCTGCTGTACTCATCCCTATATTGGTCCAGTTCACAAAAAACAAGCCGGAGCACACCAGATACAGACAGGACTCGTGTGAAATGGGTCTGCTGTGCTCCTGCTTGTTTGGAGACTAATTTAAATTATTATATTGAATAGCAGCCTTGATAGTAATAGGTGGCAATGTTATCCATTACTAATTTTCTCTAGAACACAACCATAACATTTAATTCCAAAAGAAATGTTAAGCCAACATGTAATGAGAAGTTAGTATTGTTATGGTTATTCTTACGAGTCTTCAATTACATTTCTTCTCAAAGGTACTGTATGAAGGAGGATTTCTCCGATTTTCTTAGGAAAGAACCGCCCTTTCCACCTTTTGAACAAATCTCTCTGGTCTTATTTGACGAGCACAAATCACCAGAATGATTGACAGTTGGGAGGACCAATAGTTTTGCTGATCCACCTGAAAATCTTCCTATAATACCTTCAATATTTGGTCCAGTTTTGGTTCAGTCCACAGTAACTGAACTAAGTCGATCAGAAAATAATATCCAATTAAACTAATGTGAGAAAAGTCATTTATATAGATACCTTCATATTATAAACAAAGTATTTTAATGAAACCCACATCTTTCGGCCCCTGATCAGCCCTTTAATTTTTTTTCGGCCCTCAACCAAAATGAGTTTGACACATACCCCTGCCCTAGTGTGTTATATATTGGTGACATTCCGACCAAAAAGTCAAAATGTAAAAAAAAAAAAAATGTCTTGCCGTGTTAAAAGCGCAGATACAGTATGACGGCAGTTTCTGTAAATATTTCCGTTGGTGAAAGAATGAAGTGACACGTACCCGTTGTCTGATTCTGTACATGTTCTTTGACAGTATGTCGTGCATGTTCCGGAGGTCAGCGGCCATAAACGTCTTGGGTTTGGGATTCTTCTTTTCTTCACTGTTAAAAACAAACAAACGTTCAAATTGAAATCCTGACTTGAATAAACATTTATAGACTTTATTGACATTTATGGACATTGGTCATCTGCCTCTTTTGGACCATTTTTATCACTGCTTTTGTTATTTTGGTAAAGGTAGCAATGTTAGACTTTATTATGGCAAAGTTAGAGTTTATTATGATAGTTTTATTTTATTTCAGTAAAGTTATGGTTCATTTATCTTGTGTGCTGCTCATTCCTACAGTTCTGTAACTTGTGATGCAATTCGTCTCCACTTTGAGATGAATAAAGGATCTCTTAATCTTAATCTCAATCTTAATCTTAATTCTCTGTTTTGTGTTGGCGAATCGACAGCTGTGTGAAGTCCTCCCGAGATAACTACTGTTGCGGTTTAGGGCTGTTTAAGAATAAATTGAACTGAATTGAGTTGAATTGAATCTATTGAATCCTGGACTTACTACAGCGAGACGATGGAAGGAGCGGCGCTGATGTCGCTCGCCACAGTGTCCAGAATCTCCATGGCGTTCTGCAGTTCCAGCTTCTTGTACAGAGCCACGATACTGGACTCGGCGCGACTGTCCCGGATCAGGATTCTCCGCAAGATCCTGGTGTTAAACTTTAAAAATCTGGAATTCAGAAAAAGATGAAAACATTAATTCTGTTTACGAATTGGCAGTTGCTGAGAAAGACAATCTGTGTTCGATCAAGGGCAGTAATGAATGATTATTTTGATATTTGATTAGTTGGTAGATTATTATCTGGTCTCAATGTTGCTCAATGTATAGAGGACTAAAACTTCCAAAATGATAAATAAATGAATACATGAATGTCCACATTGGGAGATAATTTTCAAGATGTCACTGCCAATCAGAGATGATCAAAATTATATAGTATTAATTTTGGACGTTTGTTTGAAAAAGAAAAAAAAAAAGACGTATTATTTTCAGTCTGTATTTTTCATTTTTGTTCCTTGTTCCTGTTTTTTTTTTTTTTTTTTTTACACCCTATTCTTTCCTTGTTTTTCTTCCTGCTTTATAATTTTTAACCCTGCCCCCGTCATTTGCATTTGGTCAAAGAACTAAAGACAAGAACCAGTGTTGCCAACTCCTCAGTAAGGAAAGTAGCAATTGGCTGTCCCAAAAGTCGCTAGAAGCCGCTAAATGACGTCATCGCCTATTTTGCATCATCGGCAATTTGCAAATAACTGTAACGGACGCTGTAGAAGAGAGGAATAACGTCGTGGGAGAGACAAAAGTGAGTAAAAAACACCCTAAATATGTTTAGAACTACAAATGCCATCCATCCATCCATTTTCTTCCCCTTAATCCATTTCTGGGTCGGGGGGGGTGGCAGTCAGAGCTGCACCCAGTACACAGAGCACCAGCCCCTCACTGATCCTCCTGCAGGGGGTGAGTCCACAGGAGCTGAGATCTTTCAGTTGGGGCTTTGGGCAAAGTAGGGTTAAGTGTCTTGCCCAAGGACACAATGACAGCAGTCATCAGTGGGAGTCATGAAATAGGTCTTACGGTGGGCTCGAACCCACAACCTTCAGGCTCAAAGGCCAATGCTCTACCAACTGAGCTACTGTCGCCCCAAATACTGAACTACAAATGTACAAAAATAATTTCAACATTAACAACATTTAATGATTTTAATGCTTTGTCTAGATCTGTCGCTAGTCGCTTTTTTGAAAAAAAGTCGCTATAGGGTCTGAAAAGTCGCTAAATCTAGCGACAAAGTTGCTAAGTTGGCAACACTGACAAGAAAAATGTAGGATTTAAAAATAAAGCAGGCAGAAAATAATAAATGGGGCATAAGATAATAAAATGCCTCCCATCTATCCATTCAATCGATTAATCAATTAGTTGGTTGGATCACAAAAAGCCTCTAAATGTGGGCTCGTCAAAGGGAAGTGATGAGTGCATATAGTTGTGTATTTGAATGCAGCAGTTAGACCCGCCCCCACAGGTCCCTGATTGGACGCAATACATTCCTTGATTGAGAATGAGGAGTCACGTGCCGAGTTGGGGTGATTTGGGGGGGGCTCTGAGCCTGTCGGACATATTGGCTGCGCAACGGGGGCACGCCCCCAGAATTTCACGCGCTCCTCATATTCCAGAGCACTTTAAATTTAAATTCTGTGCCGTGACGTCAACTCCTCATTCTCAATAGACAGCCGAGGCCACTCCCCATTGGTGTAACTATTCTCCAGAAAAACTTACTGGTGATACTTATGTCAAGAGGAGGATTTATGAAAAATACTTGATATTAGACGATACTTCAGGGACATACGTTGAAAAAAGAAATTACTATAAAATATTCTTTTAAAAATGATATACAATTGAAGCCATCTTTTAATAGATTTGACCAAAACAAAGCTAAAATGATGTGATTTTCACGTTATAATATACAGTATACTCATACTAGGTTATTTTCTATATATTGGTACAACTTTTCACAAAGTTATGGGTTTATAGCAACATTTTAACAAATACAAAACAAACAAAGAGAGGAAATGCAATCCGACACCGCTGTGAGGAGGCAGTGGACGTTCCCACACTGCAGGAGAAGAATAGTCTAACAAATGCCACAGAGGTGTTGCTTAGTTTCAATGGAGGAAAAACAATCCCTTTCTTTTTTTTCCAGTTTAACTTCTTACTTGTCTTTCCAGTAGAAGTGGCTCCACTGTCCACAGAGGTCCTCGATGCCCGCGATGGTGTGTTCCATGAGCTGTGGGAGACAAGGCAGAGGTTTCACCACACTGGCCTCAAGAATATTTTAACTTTTTTATTCAATTAGATTTATTTTTGTACAGAAGTTATCTTGGAGGAATTTAACAAAACCGTCGAATTCTCCAACACAGATCAGAGAATTCAATTTACTTACTTTATTTTTTTCTACTTGATATTTGGTTCAATTCAGCAGGTCAAAACATCAGCCTCATTGCGATTACATTTCTAAAACAGACCTTTTACTGAAAACAAAATCTTAACAAATCAAACAGACCTCTGCACTACACCAGGAAACAACTCAATATTTGTCGTGAAATCCTAAAAAGTAATTGTCATTTGAGAGGTAATATTTGAAGGTTTGGTTATGTAGACTTTATTCTTAAACTGTTTGTCACATCAAAGACAATTATACATTTCACCATGGTTGGCGAAACAGCCAACAATTGTGAATAATTAAAACAATTAAAATTATTTGAACTTTCCAATCTGCTGTTTCTTAAGAATTATGTGAATGCTTTTTTACTATTTGATTTCTCTGGAATTTTAATCTGTAAAAACTAAAGCTCTAACCACTGGACCACTGTGTTGCCGTGGAAACACATTTTGGGCTATACAAAAAAAATCCACACTTGTTCCACTTTTGCAAACATTTACAGTAACTTACCCTGCAATGGACTTCTACATTTATGGTTTCAAGATTGCGGTTTGTCCTTCGCACATTTATGAACTCGATCAGAGGTCGGATACTGATTCCCTGTCGACAAAGTAGAAAGCAGACATTAGTAAGTAAGTCATCTTTATTTGTATAGCGCATTTCACAGACAAGAATCACAAAGGCTTTACAATTGTTGTGGGAATTCGTCTCTCACTCCACACATTGATGGGAGCAAGGTACAGGAAGATACAGGAAGAGCTTGTCAAGCCTAATTTACTCGTTTTTTGTGGTGGGGAAACCGGAGCACCTGGAGAAAACCTATACAAACACGAGGAGAACATGCAAATTACACTCACAAAGGCCTGGCGGTGGATTCAAACCCAGGTCTTTCTTACTGTGATTGAAAATACATGATAATGTGCAATAAGTCTCTCTAACCTGGAGGAAGACCGTGAAGAGGATGACGACGATGGTGGCGGTGACGAAGAGCTGCTTGCGGCCGATGTTGTCCGGCAGAGTGAAGGCCAGGGCAAAAGAAACGGCCCCACGCAGCCCACCGTAGGCCAAACCAAACTGGTCCTTCATGTTGAACGGGATGGTCCGGAAAGGGTTGATGATCTGGGTCAGCACCAGCACACCTGACAGACACCAGCAGATGTGAAAACTGTGGAACTCCACATGGTTTTTGTTACAACTGCTGCTTTTTTATATCATTTATTATAAGTCAGAGATTTTATACTAATAATTCTTGCTTCTTCATCTTGCTGAAGCAAGAGATTTTACATTTGCTTTATTTTTTATGCTAAAGTTAGAAATTTTATTTTAGTATAGAGTTATTCTGTAACCGGTGTTTCCCCACTGTGGGACTAAATCTTAATATCAAACCTATTTGTATAAGGCCAAATATCCGTGATACTAAGCTGCTATCTTTTTCTAGTTCTTTGGACCCTGCGGCTTATACAGCGATGCGGCTTATATACTGTAGTGATGCGGCTTCTGTAGTGATGCGGCTTATATACTGTAGTGATGCGGCTTATACAGCGATGCGGCTTATATACTGTAGTGATGCGGCTTCTGTAGTGATGCGGCTTATTTAGCAATACGGCTTATACGTGTGTTTTTTACTGTGGTAGAGTTGACAGAGCAGAGATTATGGGCTCAAAATGGATTGGGTACTAGCATGGAAGCTGTAACACACCTTGTCAATGTATTATGTTGTCACAGGTTCTGTCTGCTACATTACAAAATGAAAACCTGCGGCCTATATTCAAGTGTGGCCTATATGTGGACAAAATTGATTATCTTTTAAAATATAGATTAGGCTTATATATAGGTACACCTTTTAGTCCAGGAAGGCACACCTGCAGAAATGTCACTCAAAGATAATTGAGTGACATTGGATTTCTTGATAAAAAGCACAATTATTGATAGCAGTTTAAATCAATGTATTAAAGCATACAGAAATATCATTTTCTTTAATATATATTTATTATATAACAAAATTACAGCCATGCAATTTTAAAAAACGTAATTTTGCCAAAACGTAATTTTACCAAGTAAATTATCAAAACAAATCCATGGGCAATACTTTTGTTTTAAAGGGTAGAACTGCTCTGAGCATGATGTCATAGTGGTGCAACGACATCATACTATTACAGGACTGAGACAGAGGCTTTTAGACAGAAGGTGCGGAGTTAGAGAAATGGCTCATATTAGCACAGAAGATATATAATCAACTCCAGGTCTGTTTTTGATGTTGGAACATTGCTGTAATTTGGTTCAAAGTACTCAAAATACATAGATTTTTTCCATAATATGTGTCCTTTAAGCATTGGGAAGACTCTTACCCAGGCCTCTCCAGACAAAGGCGAAGAACAGCGTGAAGAGGATGAAGCCCCAGTTCCACTCGTGCTCTGTCGTTATGGTTACCACCCCCAAGAAGAAGAAGATGAGGGTCTCGGAGATGGACCCCAGCATCTTCACCACGTGGCGGATGGTGGTGCACGAACGCTGCGACACATTCTCCTCCACGTAGTATTTCATAGTCAGAGCGCAGGTCACAATACTGCAAGAATATGTGCTTTTTTTAACATTTGAACTTCCAGAGGGTTTGACTTATTAGTTTATATCTATGTAATTATGATTATGAAGTTATCTAGGTCCCAGAATGGTTCAGAGCAATCTCAGGTTGAAGCAAGTGCTAGTTACCATAGCAACACACTCTTTACTTACATCAGTTAGCATTTAGTTTTGCTGCATTTTTTTTATATTCACCAATTTTATCATGTACTAAAAAAAAAAAAAAAAACCAAAGTGTATTAATTAATTTAGATAAAAGCAGTAAAAAAAAAAAAAAATGGTTCCAAGCTAGAACTCTGGGCCAGTCTCAGGCCAGTCTCCCGCCAGTCTCAGGTCGAGATAATTTCACATATTTACATAGACATAAACCACATAAACATACAGAAAAAGTCACAAAGCTTTGAAGACAGAAAACACACAAAAGCGAAGTAATTACACTTCCAAATTGACTGCTCTGGGAGTTCTACCGTTAACGTCACCTTTTGACCAATGATATGTCAGTATATAACTCACGCCATGATGGAGGAGATGGCGAACAGCTCAGCCACCAGGTAGGCCAGGTAGCTGTACATGAAGATGAACAGGGGCTCGATCTCTTTCACTTTGGAGGTGAATCTTGTGGTGAACGCCGAGACGAAGCCAAACAGGATCCCGAACCCCATTCCTCCCAGGCCCACCACGAAGAAGCGCGCCACCCCCAAGAACACGTCCACGGGCTCCACCGCCGGCATTTCAGCCACAAAGCTAAACATGTTGTATAGAACCTGCAACGCAAAAAAAAAAAATGGTCTTGTTTATGGGGCAAGAAATACAGCCTACCTGAGGTCACACGTCGTGCATCTGTGCAATAATTTGAACCAATGTGAGAATGTGCAATATCAAACCACATGTGTCCACTGTCACTTTACTGCCATGAGGAGTACAGTATACTGTACACAGAACTTTGAATTTCTTACACTAGAATATACCGCACTGCAAAAAGTAAGGAAAAATTGCTCAAATTTGGCAAATTGTATCTGAATTTGAGCACATTTTGACTGCTATAAAACAAGATTTGCCAATGGGACAAGCAAAATGATCTGGTTTAAAAAAGATACAAGAAACAGTTTGTGAATTAAGACTAAATGGCTTCGTCTCATTGGCAAATCTTGTTTTACGACACTTAGAATGTACTCAAATAAAAGATTTTTTAAAACACTTGACTCAAGCAGTTATTGTTCATATTTTAACCCATCAAAAAAATGGTTGGAAAGTTATCTCAAGGGGACTTGTTCAGTTTGATATGCACAGGTCAGGTTTTAGGGACATAACCTGTGGAGTTCCACAAGGATCAATACTGGGACCCACACTTTTCCTTATGTACATAAATGAAATATGCAAAATATCAACAGTCATGAAGTTTATACTCTTTGCCGATGACACCACCATCACATGTTCAGGAGACGACTTGGAGCAACTTCTATCCCTTGTAACAATGGAGATGAACAGACTAAAATTATGGTTTGATAATAACAAACTGTCCCTTAACCTAAAAAAGACCAAAATCATGCTTTTTAGTAATCGCAAAAGTAAAATTCCAGTTAGAATTACAATTGATGACACATCGATTCACAAAGTTCCACAAAACGTATTCTTGGGAGTGATAATAGATGAAGATCTGAGCTGGAAACCTCACATAGGTTACTTGAGGACAA